GGGGGGGGGGAAGCAGACCGGGGAGGGGGGACGGAGCCCACCCACAGTCAGACGCCCCATGTTCAGGCTCTCTGGACTTGTACTTAGGGAGCAACGTAACATTCATCTTTACTCCTGCAAGAACCAAAGAGGAGAGGTGTGGGAGCAGGCGCTGATGGCCAGGGTCTCCTTCGGTGCAAATCGGAGCAGTTTTGGGACTGTTCTACTCTTTGCAAGTTGTTTGTGGCCCTCTTAGGGAGGTGCCAGGTTTGAGGACTCCCCGGCACACACGGGGCACTGGCTGTGCCTCTCCTGGGCTGATTTCTTCTGCTGCAAGGACTCCAAGGAGCTCGTTTCAGAGCTCCAGTGCTGGAGGAGCGGGGACATCCAGCTCAGGGAAATCCACACCAGCAAACCCCCAATCTCTTCTAAATTGTCTGAGAGTGGGAGGAATAAAAGAGAGTGAAAATTACACACACCCCCCACAAGCTTTTCCTGGGCAATCTCAGAATTTATTGAGACAACTCCTGTGGGATGCTACATCATGTCATCCAAGACTGGTGTATCGACTCTCTTTTCCTGCTGCTGCTGAGTGAAGAAATATGATAGCAGGAGGGATAATGAAGCAGACATGTTTTCTTCAAATCAAACCGATTCTCTCTTAAGATGGGATAAAAGGGTAAAGAACTTTCCCTTCGCGATATTTTTCTCAGTAATGTGTTTTGACAATTTAATTTAGAAGTCATAGAGTAGCGAAGACAAAGTCACCCGGTGGGTGGACATCGGAGAGTTCAGTTGCCTTTGTGATGAATTGGTGATAGTACAGAGATGACAAAACAACACAGGGGGACAAGAAGGAGGCTGGCAGCACTGTCGGCAGCACGCACAGGATAAATTGAACACTACACTTCATCCAGGAGCTTCAATAGTCCCAGGCATCCCGATATAATTTATGAATTGCAATTAGCATTTTATTATGGCTTGTGCTCGAGCTGCGTACCTATCACTTGAGTTCAGGTTTTGCAAGAGTTGCAGAGTGAAGTTTTTCTAAGTTTGAAGTACCTATTTATTTAAATTAAAGCAATAAAAATGCTCAGGAGGGTGCTTTCCTGGTTTTAGGCTGCAGAGGTTGAGAGTGTGCATTTCTTGCGGAGGCTTCTTGGGAAGTGCTGGCTCATGTGGCTCCAGCAGCACATGCTTGTGTTCGACAGCCTGTCCCGGGAGTGCCACAGACCCGGTGCAGGATCTCCAGCAGAGCAGCCAAGGGAAGCCCCAGGATCTGTCTGCGCTCAACAGCTCCAGTGTGTTCATCACGGCCCAGCTGGTGCCTCGCTGTACCGTGGAGGAGCCCCTGCGCTCTCCCAGTCTCTCAGCTGTCTCCATGTGTGGCTCCGAAGCCCTGTGGGAGCCCTGCTCTGATGCTCTGAAGCCAACGGGTCTTAAATTTATTTCTCTTTTTCCACGAGACATGGAAATGTCTGTCTCTTGCCCATTAGCATTTTCCCCAGTCAGACAGTGGAGGAGCAATCGCTTCTCCTGCTCCCCTCGCAACGCCCTTCTGCTTCCCCTTCCTCTGCAAAGAGAGGATCCTCTTAACAATCTTTCTAAAAAAAGACTGTCTGAAGTTGGAAGCTGGAAAAACTCCTGGGCGATATCGCTCAGGTTGGCATTGCCAGCACTGGACCAGGACCCGCAGCAGCCCAGGGCCGCGGGCGGGCAGGAGGGTGCCCAGCCGGGGCTGCCTCGCTCCCCCTGCAGCACCCCAGCACCTCCCTGCCCCATCCAGTTCCCCTGCAGCGACCACAGCCGATGCCCCAGTCCAGAAACAGACGGATCTGTTGTACAGTTTCACTCTGGAATCGCTCTGGAAGGCCCCTGACTGTGCTCCAAATGACTCTGTAGGTTGTTATAAATATACAAAGCTTTTTGTGGGGATATTCATGAAATTCTATCACCGCTTCCCCTGGCTGGTAATGGCCTTGTTTATGTATGGGCTGTGTACCTGGCTTTGCAGCCTCTCCAAACACAATTCTATTACCGTGTTTAACTGCTCTATCAGTGTAGTACTTAGCGCGCTCTGCTTTCCAGCACAGCTCCTTAATGGCCAGGGAAGGTATTAGGCACTGCAGTTTGTGAGTATTCAAAAGAAAGTTCAAATCTCACGATGTCTTTATTTTAAAATTCATGGAATTTCTAAGTACCAACCTCTAAGCCATGACCAAATAGTCGTTTCTTTCTTCAACAGCCTTTTATTTTCCCTTCTTTCCCCCCCTCCACCACTTAACTTGCTCTCACCAGCTGTGTGGGACCCGCAGCTCTCCAGTTGCCAGTCCCTGCTGGTCCCATTGCAGGGGCCCCCCATCGCCCTCCTGGTCCCCACCAGCTCTTTTCTCCCCGAAAGCAGCCACAGCACGGCTCTGCCCACAGGGACCAGGGAGGGCATTGCTATGGGGGCGCTGGGGGGGGGGTCACTTCAGGGCTCTGCAGGCGGTGTGGGGCAGGGGACCCCCAGTGCCCTCCCCGAGGAGTGCCAGGGTGGGCAGTGGCCAGGGGAGCAGAGACAGGGGGGAAAAGAGAATTAGAAATTGGGGAAGTGTTTAAAAGGATGTGACAGTACCTGTGTGGGATGGGCAGCAGAGCCAGGCCACTGGTGCTGCTGCTGGGGTGGGGAGCAGTGGTTTAAATCATCCTCCGAGTCCTTCGTTATAATCAGTATTTTGCTTTTTGGTACCACACGGATCCAGTTCACAGATTTCGTTCCTAAAAGAAGAAGAAAAACCTTTCAACTTCATATTTAAAGTCCCACTTCCCACACACACTGCCAGAGAACGATGAATACCCACGTCTTCCCGCCCCTCCCTTGTCCATCAGGTGCTGTTTTACCCGCGACCATCACCGCTGCGTCTGGGTGGCAGGAGGCAGCCGGGAGGATTTGCCTCCTTCTTTCCAGCCGATCGAGAGCATTTTCTAGTTTCCTTGTACGTTTTGGCAGAATGTCACAATTTAATTGTTGGAAACAAGAACAGGAAATATTAGCAGCACCGGCACAATAGGATTTTAATTTAGCTTCAGGATAGAAATGGGTCTCTAGCAGAGTGCCAGGCTCCAGGATTGCCTGTGAGTACGAGGAGCCTGGAGTTTGCCTAATAGTTTGCACAACCGGGGTAAATTCTGTAGGGATGTGAGGGACTTAATTGGGCTCACGCTTAAACAGCCTCGTAATGCGAGGCACACTGCGTGCTCTGAGCATTATTATTAAACAGCCCATTTCACTTTTTAATGATCATCTTGGATCACCGTAACAGTGATCAGCAAATAATCCTGGACAAATAAACATCTGTCTTCAGCATTTCCGCAGCTGGGGCTGCCGCTGGGCTCTGAGTCTGGCTGTGGGGGGGACACACAGCCGTGCCCCCAGCCTCACGGGAGCCTCACGTGCCTCCCCCTCCACCCGATGCCCTTTATCAGGCCGGGGGGCTCAGAGATCGGGGTCAGTCCTCAGCACCACGTGCCCCTTGGGACATCAGCGTCTGCCCCAAACGCCGCCGGGCTGCAGGCGCAGGAGGCGTGTCGCCGCCCGCCTTGACATTGAGGTAAAATATGGGGCATCACTAAATTATTCAGTTGGTGAGAGGGGCTCTCAGGATGGTGTGTTGCTCTTCTGCAGTGTAATTAATAGTCTTTAGATTAAATATGAAATCATTCCTAGTCATTAATAATTTAGCCGCAGCGTGGCGATCTTTAGAGAGCAGCAGCACTTCATATTCTCCTCAAGTATGTTGCCTGAAACGCTTTGGGGGAAGCCGGTCGCCCTTTCATCCATCTCAATTACAACTTGCTAGCTGCTCATTTCCTTCTTGAACATTGTTTTGTGAAGGTGTAAAACTCTTCCGCTCCTGCTTTTCTGAAGTTGGTGCTTAATAGCATCGGTGTGTCCTGGAAACGAGGGCCCAGTGCTCTACATCAGCAACGACCTGCTGCCGAGTCGGGGTGCGGACCTCCAGTGCTTCCCAAGGTGTCTGTGCTCCCACCCTGGCAGGTGCCGTAAGAATTTCTGGGGTGGATTTAGCTCAAATGCAGCTTCCACCATCCTCACCACGGGATGGACCAGCCATGGGCCCCGAGAGGGGTCTGAGCGTGCCGCTGGTCCTTGCCAATATCGCAGAGCGAGGGGGTGGGATGGAGAAGAGCTCCCCGTGGCCGAGGTGCCTGCACCGCCACCCCGCCGTGGCTTTTGCCATCGTGTCAGTGATCTTGGCCACGGCCAACCCACCAGCACCAGTCCCAGCTCTGCAGCACAATAATCAGGTCCCTGTAATTTCCAGAAAACAGGAGCTGACCCACGTCTCCTCCCTCTCCTCCAGCCCCCAGGCCCCACCACTGTGCTTTTTTAAGGGCAGCGCAGAGATGACGGTTTTTGCTAATGCTGACAACTACCATAATTTTGCTTTACGCCAGCACTAAAACTGGAGAAAAAAAATTCATGTCCTGGGACATCTGTGACACAGTCGCAGCTGATGGCGGATTTATGTGCAGCCCCGGTGGCTCCCAGCAAGAAAAGTACCCTGGTGCATGTGGGGAGTGTAACAGCCCCGCTCCTCTGCCCCCGAACCGGCTCCGACCCTGTCAGCGAAACGCCAGAAACCAGCCATCCCGCTGCAGCTCCTTCCCCGTGGGGCCAAACCCCTGCTTCACGTGAGCCCAAAGCAATCAGGGGGAAAGGGGGGGCAAAAAGCCCCATCCACACCCTTCTGCGACGCTGGTGGGCTCCCACTGGCGTGCTGTGCCGGTGCAGGGTGTGAGGATGCCCTGGGGAGAGCAGGGATGCTCCAAAGTAAGAACGAGCAGCAGTGTGGGCAGAAGCACGGCTAAATCCTCCCGCAGGCGGGCTCCCGCTCCCCGGCTCTGCTGCAAAATGCCACCCATAGCAGGAGGAACATTTTTTGGAACGCTGGAGTCCCAGGGTGCCAGGCTGGGGCTGTGCTGGCTGCTGGCAGCAGCCTCGGAGGGTCCCCGCCTTTCTCCGAGCGCCATAATTCTTGTTTCCAAACAGCAAACAAATGTTAGACAGCTGCTGCAGTAAAATTTGAAAATCAAAGCCAAGTCCCCCCGGGGGTGCCAGCAGTGGCTGGGGCGAGGAGGGGTGAAAGGGCAGGATGAGGCTGACCCCGGCACGGAGCAGGGAAATGCAGCCCCGGGCTCAGCAGGGTGAAGGCAGCAGCTCCGGGGGTTCCGGCAAGTCCCACGGCCCCCACAAATGTGTGTGGTAAATGTCACGTCTCCCAAGGAGCCCTAAATAACTGCGCGGCTGCCGTAACCTTTCTGGAGCCCTCCCGATTCACGTGTTAGCTGTTACAATAGGATAAACTTGTTTGCACACCTGGCTGTGTTTTAAATAGGTTTAATTCCTTTGTGCCTCTCCACAGCTTCCTCTGATGACTAAATGACTTGTCAGCTGTCGAAGGCTGAACGCTGCCGGCTTCAACTTGCCCCCGCACTGGTGTCTCCCCACCCCCCACCCCCCCCAACAGCATCCCCTGCACTTACACCATAGCTGGTCTGCTGGGCACCCAGGGCCTGAAGGAAGCTGCCTAAATACTCCTGGGGCACCGTCAGCAGGAACGTCCCCGTGTCCACGATGGCCTGGCATCCCTGGCTGCACCAGCCGGTCACTGTCTGTCCGATAGCAAACCTGGGAGGAGAATAGGAAGCAGAGTGTCACTTTAAGCACCTGCTGCCAACTAAACCTGTCCGGGATGCTCTGAAACACGATGCCTAACGCCTGCCTCGAGCCCACGCCTGCTGCAATAGCTGTAGCTTCATCTAGAGGACCCCTGTACCACCCTCCTTATGTGAGCTGCCCGGGTGGATCGTGCCCCTCGGGTACAAACACAACTCACTCATCAATGGCGACCTGCCAGTAAAGCTCCTGGGTCACCGGGGCCCACACAATGTCCCCAACGTAGAGCTGAGAGTCAACCCCTCCGAGAACGAGTTCTCCTCCGTATTCGTAGGTGGGTTGGCTGCAAAACCACAAGAGTTAGAGCAGCAGAGATCGGTAAATCGGTGAGATGCGCACGAGCTAGCAAGGGACAAATTCACAAGGAACCTGCACAGGGACAGGCAGGGGGATGCTGGTGCACATAGGATGTGCGGAGAGCCCCGGCAGGTTTTTACCGGGAGAAGTAGAAGCTGAAGATGGGCTCGGTGAGCTGGTTCTGCTGCAGCATGCCCTGCAGTGCAGTGGGCGTCCCTCCCACCGCCAGCGAGGGGTAGGCCATTCCCATGATCCCATCAAAATCGGCATAGTAGAAAGGCTGGGTTGGCTCGTTCTCACTGAGCCCAAACTCCTGGTTTGTGACCACGATGCTCTGGATCTGGAGGGAAAGGGGATGCCAGGTCAGCCTGCGTGCTTAGACAAACCCAAGCAGCCATCGGATGGGGTGAGTGATGCTCTGAAAGCCCAAAGAGCACACTGCAAGGTCGCAGCTGGTAAAAACATCACCAGACTGCTGGGAAAATTAGCAGGAATTAGGTTAAAATAAAGTAAAAACCCAGCTGGGTGACTGATGCTGGCAATAACCACTTTATATTGGTTCTGCCCGTGTCAGGCCCTGGTTTGTTCAAGTCTTGGCTACACAAGACGTGAGATCTGCCCTTAGGCTGTGCCCCAGGCTCCTTCCATCAGGGCACCCAGCCGGTGCTTGGGGACACAGCACCCAGGAAGACAAGGACAGTGCAGGGGGCACCCACCGTCAGCGTGTCGTAGCCCAGCACCACCGTGAGCGCGCCGCTGCCGTAGGAGAGCGTGTAGGTCTGGCCGTTGGAGGTGAAGGTGGAGGACTCGCTGGGATCAAACTTCGTGTGATTGACTGCATGAGAAAGAAGAAGACAAAGCCTCTGGGCACGCGCTCGCCCGGCTGCGGTGGGATTTCACCGTCGGTCGCTCTGCTGGGGTAACGCCTGGGAAAGCTGCTTCCCCGCAGGGACCAAGCCCTCAAGAGCAGAACGGGCTGTTCCTCTGCTTTGTGGTTATCTCTCAGGCATTTTGCATCCCAGTTTTGCCTGCAGCCCTCTCCAGGGACCAGCCGCTGTGATCACAACCACATCAGCCGCCCAGCGAGAGCAAAGCCAGCAGCAGTGAAATCCCCATCGCCCTCCCGCCGGCAGCGAGTTACGTCGGACGAGCTCTGCCAGGGAGCGGGACATCAGCTCCACCATTCACAGCTTTGCTCTTCCCTCTGCCCAGCCACGAAAGGTCAGGCACAACCATTGTGATTTCTGTGCTCCGGGGACACCCACAATGGCCGTAGTGACCTGGCCATCCTCATTAGGCAGGCACATAAAGCCAGGGGACTATTTCCCACACTGGTACCAAGGAGCAGCTATCCCAGAGCAGCGTGCCAGGGTCATTTTTGGTCTGGCATCACAATTTCTCCCAGGCGATGGGACCACGCTGTGCTGCTGGAGGGGCTCTGGGCCCCGTGGCTGCGGTACTCACGGCACGCCGGCGTCTGGCAGTAGGTGGAGGGCACCCACAGGTTGGAGGAGCCGGTGTCGAAGAGCACCAAGAAGTTTTGTGGGGGGGTCCCGATGCTGATCTCCCCGAAGTAAGAGGACTGCAGACAAGAAATGGGGTATCTCTGTTGGCCACAGGGCCAGGGACACACCAAGCTCTTGCCTCCCAGCCCTGCGCTGCCATCCCCGTCTTTGCAGGGCGTCGGGAATGCCAAGCTCACTCTTGCAAATAACAAAGGAGGCAGGAACAGACTGAGCTCTCACCCTGCTTTTGCTTCCCAGAGATGTAATATTAAATATTTATTTCACAGAATCATCTAGGTTAGAAAAGACCTCGAAGATCATCTAGTCCAGCCATTAGTTTGTTATGTCTTCTGTGACATACAGAAAAGCATCCCTTTTCGTGGCTGGGGGAAAACTTCTCTGAAGTCCAAATTAGAAGCTTAAAAAAGAGCAGGGAAAAAAACCCCAATCCTTCATTCCTGGAGGCTCAGGGGTGAAGAGATCATTCCGGCAGCTGGGAAGGAGGAGGGAAAGGGGAGCGTGGCGTACAGACAGGCGGGGAGAGGGGAGCCTGGGGGACTCACATCCAGGTGGTTGGTCATGGGCTCAGACACAACATAGTCGTCACTGAAGCGGTATTTCTTGACTGGATCATAACGAATCTTCTTCAAGTATTCATCCAGCACTCCAGCCTCCCTCATTTTCTCCCGTATAGACAAGGCTTTCTTCAGTTTGATTCTGCACAGAGGAAAAAAATAACAAAAAAAAAAAACAAACAACAAAACACAGCAGGAAATCAGGAGGAGATTTGGGCATTTTCAGATGATCAGTTCTCTGGGTTCCTTTGAACCATGACCCGCTGGGAGCTCTCTGCTCGGCTGCCTCGCACCTCCCCAGCGAGGGATGCCGCCTGGACTAGGCCCATGGTGATCTCTGGAGATGCAGGAGGCCAGAGTCAGCCCTGGCCAGGCTTGGTCTGCTCCCCTGGGGACACAGCACAGCCCACGCAGGTTACAGCTGCAGCCGGGCTCTGCTACCTGCTCTCTCCCCGCTCGCTCTGCCGCAGCGGCTGCTGCAGGACACCCACCTCACGAGTCCCTCCGAGAGCTGGAGGCACATCAGGGCCAGGACGAGCCACTTCATGGTTGCAGGATTGTCCACCGCTCCACGCACACCCTCCTGGAGACCGCAGCAGATGGGCTGAGCTGCCCAGACTCCCCAGCTTTATACCCAGCAGTGACCCTCCCTTTATCTGCTGACTTCCATTTTCCATTACGACCACGCACGCCTCCCAGCTTCAAGGGTTCCTTTGTATTTTGGCCCATGAGGATTTTGAGGAGTTTGTGCCCTTAACGGGGCGCTCAGGTGAGAATAGAGCAACACACACCTTCGATAGCAAGGTCAAAGTGTTGCCATCTGATAAGAGGCCAGCTCTTATCACAGCAGAGGGGAGTGACCCAAACATCACCGTGGTGAAGTGTTATCTGTGTTTGTCAAAACCTGTTCAAACCTTTGCCCAAAACAAAGGCACTGGCGGCCCTTGGTACAGGATGGAAACGCGTCAGACCTTTGTCTGCCGTTCTGCCACCCAGCCGCCCGCCCGCGGGGACCTCCTGCCATGGAGGAGGGGTGGCCGATGGTGTTGAGGCTTCTCCAGGGCACGGGGCGAAGGGCTGGAGCCGGCTGCTTTGTTCCTCATCCCAGGGGCTCGGTGAGCCCATGAGGTTTCTTCTCTTGTTTTCTTGTAGGTGGTTTCCAGTGTTGTCCTGCCTTCTGCTCTTCATCAGCCTCCCAGTCCTTCACTATCCTCTCCTCCACATACAGCTCATTTCCATGTATCATACACTTCACTCCTGCTTCTACTTTCATACTATTTTGGACAGAAATCACATATTTTCCTTTTTTGTTGTTGTTGTTGTTTATATTTTATTTTGTGATGCAACTTTCCATCCCGTGCTAAAAGGCAGGTGCTGAGCCTCCCTGCACAGGGGAGGTTTAACCCACCCGAGGATGAAACCCTCAGAGTCTAACCCACCCACCAGGTCCTCACACCAGCCCAGAAAGTCAGGGAATTCCTTCTTTTTCCTGTGAAATAACAGAGAACCAGAAACACAGGCCTCCCAAACTGCCAACACCACCAAACCAGACCAAAACATTTGGGGTTATAAACCCAAATATTTTCTAGCAAATGGACCAAAATGTTTTTGATCGTAACACAAATATTTTCTAGCAAACAGACCAAAACATTTTTAGTTATAATCTAAACATTTTCTAGCAAACGGACCAAAATGTTTTCAGTTATAACCTAAATATTTTCTAGGCCTCCTCCGGCCCAGCTTGCATCCCGGCTCTCCGCAGCGGGGGAATCTCACTCTCCATCTCCCGCCGACACCGCGGCGTCGCTATCACTGCGCTCATCCCGTGTCAACGCTCTGCACAGATTTTATTCCCTCGAGAGTGCCGGGGAGTGTGTGTCCTTTGCTGGATATTGAGACTATAATAAAGCAATTATCTTGTTTGCTAGCAGGATTGATAGAAAGATCAACTTATTAAGATTGGATAAAAAAGCAAATTCTGGCTGAAAGCAAAGAGTAGTTATCAAAACGTCAATATACCGAGTGTTATCTGCAGGTCCCCACGGGGAGTCAGCCTTGCCAAAAGACAAAGGAATAAGGTGCCCTCTACAGCGCACGCAAACACATTCTGCTTTTGGCACTTCTTGACCCAAAATTAGACAGCGCTTGTTTGCCGAGGCATTTAGTCTAACAGGAATCAAGGATTTATGGTTTTTAACATCAGAGATCCCATGTCCCTGCGTGGAGCAGCACGTCCCCGCGCTGCCCCAAGGCAGGATTCTCCTCGGGGCCAAGCTCTGGGCGTTTCTCCTCTTTTGCTTTCAGCCCACACGCAAACAGCTCCAGCCCAGGGAACTCCCCCTCTCCCAGGTGAGCACAATCCCCTTCGCACCCCATGGCCACCTCTGCCACCTTTCCGGGGATGAGCCGTGAGCAGCAGCGTCCTGGCCATCTGGAGGGCTTGAGCACTTTCCACACAAGCCAATAAATCCTATTAAACCAACAGTCGCTGCAGAGGTGGGCACCATCTCCCAAAAGCCAGTAGCTCGAGAGAGAGCAGTTCACAGGATTAGAAGTGGAATCTAAAGTGGGATCCAGCCTCCCCCATGACCCGTTTTACCTCTCCTGCCTGCAGACACCGCTCCCAGAGCCACCAGGGATAGAAAGCTTTTTAAAGACATTGCCATCACCGTGAATTTCTGAGTCTGCGGTAGGCTCTGCTTTACCCATGGCAAAACCACACAGAAGCGACTGGTCCCAACTCAGGACAATTTATCACCTCAGTTCCTGCACCTCTGTCCCAGACAAAAGCTATTTACCTCAACAAACAGTAGTGCAGAACTCAATAAACATGAATATGGGGACTGCCAGGAGCCTCCCCTGGTCATTAAAGCCTGTTGCTCTCACAAGCATCATGTCAGCTAAAACCCCTCCTGAAGGTGCTGAGTCCCATCCGAGTTAACACTCTCCCCCCCCCTTGATGATTTAAACAGTCTTGCTCTATGGGATTAATCTAAAACAGCTCATAGACACTTGGCCTGGAGCACAATTGCTCACTGCTTGAGTTCTCCAAGCAGGAAAAGCTGTTGGTGGGAGCTGCAATGACACGGCTACGTCCAGAGCAGCTGTGTTTATGAACTGCACACAACCACACGTATCCTTTCCTTGGTGCTGCACGAGCTGGTTTGAATGTTTTATTTCCAAAACAGAGGTTATAGCACACACGTGAACAGCTTCCATCCACGTTAAAATAAATAAATATTCCTCTCTTCCTACACAACCATGAGAACAGCTCCTGAAATATCAGGCTCTAGGTCTAACATTTCCCAAGCCAGGGCGAGGATCAGACGCTTCATGATGATCTCTTGTGGGCGGTTTCTGACGAGACCCTCCAGTCACCCTGCTCAGGCCCAGCCCCCCAAGCTGATGCTGGTGCTCTACGCCACCCCCTTATACACCCCAAAATACACCTCCCCGCAGCAGTACCTGAAGTTCAGAAATGCACCCAGCCCAAGAGATTTTCCCACAAGACTAAGCACTATCCTGAAAACTCCAAGTCAAATACTACTGGCAAATGCCACCCTATTTTCAACTTCTTTCCGACAGGGCTGTCAAAGTCTTCCTAGAAAGAGAAATGAAACATCTTTCCTTGTGTTTTGCTGGGATGGAACTAACAACATGGGTTTATCATCAGTGGTGTTATCTCCTCTGTATCCCTTCCAGTTCTTACCTCCAGCATTTTAGAAAGTCATGGAACGACCGTGAAGGAAAGAAACACGTGGGTTTGGGTTGGAAAGACCCGGCACGTGAAGGCACGCTCACTTAGGAGGGCACAGATGGCCCTATTAGCTGGTTTAGTCGATTCCTGCTGGGAAAGAGTTTTCTGGGGGAATTTTATAAGCCAAAGAATTAAACTGAGCATGTTACCGCATGATTAGCTCTCATCTGCTGGAGAGTTTGGGAAAACAAGCAAATCAACTCTCTGCACAGAGCGATGGTAGGGGAGCCATGGAAAAGCCCTGTGCCGGGAGCAGATCAGCCCAGCCAGGAGGAATGAAACTGCATATTGTTCAACATTGGCAAAAGCACCTCCTTCCCATCAGCTCCCAAATTCCACCACTCCAAACTGTGACCTTAAACTACCCATGGTGGAAACAGCACATCTTAAAGGGTAGGTACTCCAGAGACTGTGAATATTCTTGCTGTGTTCAACCTACACTCATAGCTCATCCATTTCCAAGGTGACTTCACGATTTCCTCCTGATGCTCCACTCAGTGGAAAACTGGTCTACATCCTCATGACCAACCTCCAGCGATGGCCCTGCCCTGCAGAAAGGCACCATGAAAGAGTCTGTGGCTTCAGAGCTTCAGCTCCTGTATCACACAGGCCACAGAGCCTCATCCAAACATTGTTGTGAGTCCAGCTTTCAGCTCAACAAGCAGCATGCGGAACAGTCCTTTAAAGATAACCCCGTGGGTCACCAGCCAGCAGAGAGGAAAAGGTGTCTGTCTCTGCATACATTTATTTTTTAAGCCTATCGCAGTGAGACTAGCCAGGTGAAACACAGCAATCATTGCTCCGGGTAGACAACATAAGGAGAGAGACGTTATTCCTTCGGGGAAGGGAGACCTGGGGGAAAAAAAAAAAAAAAAAAAAGGTTGCAAGAAATCCAGCTTGAATTGTGTGAGGACAACTGGTGATTGTTGGCCTGGCTTTCAATTTTACATAAAAAAATAAAGTTCACTTTGAAATGTGACAGTTGCCTCTTGGCACCACTAACAAAAGACAGGACCACCGGATAATCATCATATTCCATTTATTCTGTATACATTCGTAGTGCACGTTGACGTAAGACATGAGCGCTCCTCGGGTCACATAGCACTGCTTGTTGTTCTTCACCTGTAAGGTTACACCCGGATGCGATATAAAGAGGGACTGAATGGATATCCATAGAAATAACCTGAAGAAGCAATTACACAGCGAGATCAACCCCTCTAGTCAGAGCAACTGAATCCCCGGTGGCCAGAGCCCCGAAGCACCTTTGTTTTTCTGCCATATCAGAAATGTTCAGTATCAAAGACACCAGTACAAGTAACAACAAGGAGAATCGCATGGGAGGAGAGCTTGAGATAACACAGATGCATCTGGGCCTTTCAACTGTAAAAATCACATTCACTTACGGAAGAAAAACAAATTAGATCCCTTCTTTACAATTAGCCTTTTCCATACGCTGGCCTTTAATTGCCAACTTCAAAGCTCTCAGGTTTTCCACTAATGTATTCACCTTTGGTCCTGTTTGGTAACAGGAATCTAAACCTGTTCTGCTACCTGTATGCGGCATTTCAAGACAAGCCAAGTTTGGGGGAAAGACAAACTTCCCAGAAAGACTGATGGCAGCCCTCCCAGAAGCTGAATTTAGGCAAGGCGTTCATTAACGATCATTTGTTAATGATACTTCACAGTCAAGATACCACCCGAGAGGGCTGAGCAGCATCACACGGAGGGACAGAGGAAAGACTGGGAGAAAATGTCTGAGAGAACAGACAGGTGTAATACCAAGCCCTGGTTTGTTTTTTCTCTCAGTGAACAGCATGGTTTAGGTAATAAAGACGATAACACTTCAGTGACAACCAACATATTCAAGTCTCTCTGCAGAAATATTGATCTTTTAATCCTCACAATCCAGCCTCTCCTTTGCCATCCTGTAAGGCAGGTACAGCTCAGATATTCCAACCTCCTTCCCTGGGGAAAAAGCAGGCTCATAAAATGGGTTAAGAGAAAAAGCAAATCAAAAAACCCTCCCACGATAAAAGACAACTGAGTACTTGGAGAAGCTATATTCTGACCAACAGGTTCTTGGGAAGGGTAAAAGATCTATTTATGCATTCACCAGGGAAGAAATATCAGGGGAAAAATTCCAATTGATTAACTCAAAACTCAAACAAGAACCACTTAAAAAGGTTAAGACAGTCAAATCCTCTCTGCAGAGCACATGGCTGCTTACCAAGCCATCCCTTCAATCTCACCAGCAGAGGAAGGAGACCAGCAAAGACAGGACACAGTCCCCAGCGGGGGCTACACAAACCTGCTCTGCAGCCAAGAACGTAACCCAACAGCTACGCTCATGCTGCCACGTCTTAGCCATTACCCAAGCTCAGTTCACTTGGCTGCCTAAACTTTTTTTTCTGAACTAAAGTCTCAGCAAACACAATAGTTGACTGAACACAGCTCGTTTTTCCAAGTTACCAATTCACAGACAAAACATGGAGGCAAACCCTCTGCCTTGCAGAAGCAAGCTTGGGAGAGGAAGAGATCTCCCAGCTTCAACTCAGCTTCGGGGACTAAGTCCAGGGCAGGTTTCAGATGTACCCGTGCTCGATCGTTTCCTCCTGGTCACCCGTGTGGCATCAGCTGGATGCACAGAGCCTCGGATGAATCCTTCTTAACTCAAAACCAGATTTACGGGTGGAGCCACAAAGGGTGAGGTATCCCATCCGTTGGGAAAGTCCAGCAAACTTGCATGTAAGGCTCAAAGCAAAATCTGCAAGATCCATTTTTATAAGGAGCCATAAAGATACAACATACTGCATAAACATGATTTCAACCAAAAGAAAACAGTAACA